ACCCCTCATCAGTAAGCCAGCAGATTTTAAATACATAGATCCTTCCTAGAGTTCTTCTATGAGACTACAGAAAACCTCTACCTCTCCTCATCACAGGCAGGATGTGTTTTGTAACTCAGATAGCCGAACTGGGAAGGGATGATTAACACGAGCAATGCAAAGAGCACAAGAAACTTACTAGATTTCTGGCAGGATCAACAATATATATTTTTCACATCTCTCAAGCCGAGGGAGGAGGGGGTTGTATGGGGCAACATGTGCATGGTTACTATTTACTTATACTTAAAGAATTACATCTCTTATTTTTACATAATTCCTGGAAAATGTGTGCATGGGTGCCCCCAAAACTCTCTTCCCTGTGGTTGTATCAAAAAACCCTCATCCTGCAGAACCGTCTTCTTAATTCTGTTCTGAGCTGATGCAGGTGGTTCCTACATCAGGGGGAAGGGGTCTAATCTTTCCCTTACAGGACGTGAAAAATGCGTGACAAAATGCCCTGGTGTGAACAGGGCCTTAGACCAGGTTAACACCATTTTCCGGACCAGATCTGGAACGCGGTGTATTGCGTTTTGCCGCGATTTTGCTGCATTTAAGTTTGTTGTTTTTTTAAGAGCTAAAAATGGCATTTCAGGTGCGTTTGCATATGTCAGACCTGAGAAAATGAGACAAGCAGCATGTTTTTTTTAGTCTGGTCTGGAATGGACTGCAATGGTGTGAACAGAGCCCAGAAATACCATAGGGATACATTGGGATGCTTTTTTGGTCCGGGAACAAACTGCTCTGGTCTGGACATGGTGTGAACAAGCCCCTAGGGCGATTCTACCTCCACACCAGTTCTTTCTGTGCTCCCTTCTCTAAAACCTGGGGGAAGCCATCTAGCCAGCACCTCAGGTGTTTATTAATTTTGTTTGGGGGGGGTTGGTTTGCACTACCATATTAGAGATACCATCATACAGGGCAATTTGCATTGAGACCGATTAAACAGAGGAGATGTGTGGATAGAAAGTGCCAGCAGGCACATCAAAAGCTGTCAAAAAGGCAACAGGAAATTCTGGAACATTCACAGTGAACACACAATTTTTTCGCTAGCTGCAGGCTGCACAGTAGTACCATACAATGATTCAAGTTTCTGAACTGTGAGCTATGCAAAAACAAGGAGGGACTCAGGGGCTGCAGGAAGGGAGTCCAAGGAGCCAAAAAGACTGCACAGCAAAGTACATTCCCCTCTTCTTAAAAAGTCACAAGGCTCCAATATACTCAGGAAGAGGTAGGGAAAGTCTATGACCTCTGGGGACTTCCTGCCAGTAAAATCAACCCGGGGGGGAATTGTAGAGATTACAGAGTCCCTCTGCAGCACTTGTACAGCATACTTTCAAACTGCCGAAAAAAGCAAAAGGAGAGCTGTAGTTTCACGTTTTCACGCATGTTTTTTTCCATGTAGATTAGATTGCATCAACAGAAAATGTAGTTCCTTCATGCGTTTTATAAATGCACTACACTGGCATTGGGAATCAGGAAGGCAAGAGGATGCCAATAAAAGTGGACAAAAGCAGGAGGGGGAAAAAAAGCCAGGAGGAGAGCCTGGTCACATGACTGGCTCTATGCCAATCATAGATTTATCTCTGCTGTGGGGAGAATTCCACCAAGTACTGCAGCATTTTATAAATGGGCCCAAAAATGCAGGCCGTGGTACTGAGAAATACTGCGATTATAGAAAGTCAGATGGAGATGTCCCCCCTCCATAATAAATCAGACCCGGAATTCATCACTATTTTTTATTTGATAATTTCCAGAACAGGATAAAATCCTTAGCCAATAATGGGGATATTGGGGGGAAAGAAAAAGGGAATTGAAGTGCAATAAATAAAAAATCCAACTGGGAGAACTGAACCCCCCTGATAATGGCCACAGCGGGTGAGCTTGCTCAGAAACTCGAGCAGTTAGAATGTCACACAAAAGATATAGGAAACGGTTAGGTGGTTTAACTCTCCAGCACGTAACAAAGGCATATCAGTCTTGGGTGTACTGAACTATTAAGGGTCCGATTTTAAAGATTCAACAGGTCAGCCTTGCACAAGCAGCCAGGCACTTCCATTTCCTACAGCCAACAAATCACAGTTGTAGAACTGATGGGAGTGCCAAAAGAAAAAAGGGCACTACACCATCCACGCATTGCCAGGGCATTTGCCCCACACTTGGCTAAGCTGGATAGTTAGCATATTATGTGCAACCTAGCCCTTGTCAACAAAAACTTTTCTAGGAGTACATTAGTGGAGAAAATCAGTTCTTGGTGAGGTTTGGGGATTCAGGATTTTAGAAATGGTGATTGTTCTCTTCAAAACCCCTTATGGGGACATCAAGAGCAACACGCTGGCTGGCAAAAAAAAAAATACACAAGATGATCGAGTTTGTCCCACTGCAACACTCATGTGATACTCCTATACGCCTAACTCGTGGCAAAAGGCTATAAAGAAGGTAGTCATAAAATGGATGTGACCGCCAAAGATCAATGGGCCACATGCACAATTTTTTAAAGGGAGAACTGGGGTGGTGTCCTTTAAAAGGAGAACTATGGGGTTAGGGCTTTTCCCCATAGTTCTCCTTAGGGTAACGGGAGGACACAAACTAGCGTCCTCCCGTCACCCTAAGCTCAGTATACCGCGAGCTACAGCTCGCGGTATACTAAGACTCCGCAGTGGATTCCGACAATTATGTCTGGATCCTCATAGTTCTCCTTTAATGTCACATCAGAATCTTATTTTTTTTGTCACATTGCACTTAAATCATCAATGGTTGCCTTTTATAAATTAGGCTTTTTTTTTTTTTTTTTTTTTTTTTTT